AACAATTAAGAATGTTTAAAATAATATATTTACCAGCTATACATGAATAGGTTATTAAAGTAATTACTGATAGATAAATGTAAAAGTTCTCACACGTACAGTAGCAATATTGTTCAATTTCTTGAAAAGCCTTTACCATGTCAGACTGCTGAGTCTGGATGAGTGGATGGGTAGTCTTACGTCGAGCAGGTACAGTATAACAACGCCAGGAAGTAAGCGATGGCTTTTACGGTTTCGCTATTCTCGAATGTTGCCAGTAGCTTCATGTCATGACCAGCCCTGATACAGTATGTCAGCGGGCCTCATTTGTAGCCAGGTAGTCAAGTCTGTGTCTTCTTCCTTTTGAGGAAAAAAGCACAAATTAAAATAGTTTTGGTAACAACTACATAACCCTCATGAATTAACAGCTTATGTTTTCACTAACAAGCTATCCCCTGGGGTTATAGACATGCAGAGCGAAATACACTACACCCTTTTCAATGGCTGCCGATTAAAAATTCTTTTATGTGCATATACCTGTAAGGTCATATAAATTGGCCCAACTAGCCTCGTACTCATGTTAAGATTTCAAAGGAATTTTTATTCCTTTGAAATCTTAACATGAGTACGAGGCTAGTTGGGCCAATTTATATGCACATAAAAGATTTTTATTTTGCAGCCATTTATGAAAAGGATGTATGATGGACGGCAGATGTTAGCCCATATTAACTTATCTCAACTATATAGGAAAGCTCAAAACTAAGAAGATGTATAATTATGCACACTAAATTTGATTCAGGCCTTACTAAATGAATTTTATAAAATGAAACTATAACCTCACCTCAACAAAGTTTATGATGTCCAGTTTGCTCTTAGCAGGTTGACTTTTGATTTGAAGAGTGAATTAAATGTTCTTCATTACTGTAGGTGATCAGAAGTACTTTCTATAGAATTACATACATAAAAAATAATATTAATTAGTTACATTTTTAATAAAAGCTTTGTGATATTTTGAGAGCTAAACAATGCAATTTTGATTTTTCATGTCATTTATTAGTTACCGGTACAGTATAAATCAAAATGCAATTTTCATTCATTATTTTCTATTAACGACACCTAATGTCGGTGCTAATGAATCCAATGTTGGTACCGGTACTCTAATTAATCAAAAAACAAAATGATATGATTTAATTACCAGATCACTGTTCATGCGGTGGCTTCATAACTCCTTTTGAAATACCATAGTAAATAAGTGGGTCCAATTGGTCAATCAGCTGCTGATTTTCACAATTCCTCATGTATGCGCTTTCTTCTGCTTCTTCAGGTTGGTTGAGGTTCCTTCAAACTTCTTCAACAACCTATTTGATGAGTGATGATGTAAATTTTTTGAAAATAACCGCATACCTTATTCCAGAGTTTTTATTACCATGATACTGTAGCTCATATACCTTACTCAGTAGTCAGTGGTATAACTTTACTATTTTGACCACTTGTCCTTAGGGCAAGTTCAATTTGCCAAGTTGGATTATAGGAAAATTAGTTGCCCTGAATAAAATTCACTTGCCATCAGACAATAGTCACTGGGGTACCTACTGTAGGTAGGGGGTATAAATTAAGGGGACAACATGTCGACCCTTTCTTCCACTGCTCTAGATGCCTCAGATCTAGCTTTGGCCCACAAAAAACAAAATTTGAATCCATGCACAAGTACAACATGGACTGTATAAAAAAATTATCCGGCAATGAAAACATAAATTTAAAGATGCCCAGCTTTTTGTGGCAATGATATTCACTTCCCCGGGCTTAGAAGTTGCAACTCTGTTATTTATTGAAAGCATGATATAACTTGGCATCCTTAACCAGTTAACCACCATCACTCTCCCACTCACAAATAAAATTGTCTGGCGTTAGACAGGAATACAATAAAGGGTGCGATGCAACTTCATGGGTTAAAATTTGAAATTTTGACTGTGGGACCATGATTTCTGAGACCCAAATTGACCATAGTGACTCAAATTTTCCCACAAAAAGAAATCAATAATTTATTTGTAGGCTAATCATTCTGTTATGTAGGATAGAGTTTACAACATGAGCAAGAATTTTTGAACAGCCAAATCCATTAGATAGGTATAAAATGTAAGGGCAATGTTGTTGGCATTTGTGATTTAATATGCTATTGTCTCATTCCAGAAAACATTCATATGGTTATGATTTAACCTCAGAACTTTGTATTGGAGATACAAGTGAGGTTAAATCAAATGCTACTTGTTTCAGTAACCCAATTTATCTTTTTTAAAAACCTTTTTAAAACACCATTAATAGTAAACCACATAGTAATATATAGTAAAACAACATATAAATAGTAATATATTAGTAAACAACAACACTTAATTTTCCCATTTAATGCAAAATGTTCGTTGAAATATGAAATAATTTTTCATAATTTTGTCTGGCGGAGTTTTTGCCGGAGTTTTCGAACTCCGGCGCCCAGCTCTAGATTATTGTTCTCTCTCTAGCGTCAGACCATTTTACTCATCATGGCTAAGTGGAGAGTGTTGGACTGCTGGTGCCTAATTTATTAATGTTTTTTTTAAAGATAATTCAATCTACTGTAACTTTGGATGCACATGTAAAAAGAATACTACCATAGTTAACAGTTCAGTAGTTTTATGCTGCTGTAAGCTTAGACTGTTTTTACACTATAAAGTCTGCAGTAAATATACAGTCATGTAGACCCATTTAATTACAAATTCTTTTAAGGCCTATTTAATATGATCCCGGGCTAGACATTTGGCATGATCCAGCTTACAATATGAGCTCTATCGACTGTTTACAGTAAAGTGAATTATTCTACTTCTTTCTGGTCTAGACAGGATCTCATTATTTGTTGCCGGGATCACACCAGCCAGGACAAGAAATTCTCATACAAGCACTCTATCATCCCTGCCAGGCGGGGTGTATTCCGTCTATATAAACACACCATCCTGGGGCCAGTTGTTCAAAGCTGGGTTAGCTTAACCGTAGGTCAGGGATGGATCCAGCATGGTCTGTTCCCAGCTCCGCTTTTTCGGAAAGCAACAACCCCCCCCCCCCATCGACAACTTTTTAGGGGAAAAAAATTTTCCCGACGAGTACGTTGCAATTGCTTTCCAGTGACTTTACACATCCATCAACTTGCTTAACCACTGCAAAGTCTAGCTACAGTATTTGAATTGTAATTGTTGTTCACAGTTCGCTTATCGTCATGTTATTACTCAAATTACTGAATCTCATTTTGTCTCTGATAATTTTTTGCTTTATTATGAAAAATAGCACCCCGCCCTGCACCCCTCCTGACCAGGGCTAGGGGGGGTGTGCACCCCCCCAGTAAATCCATCCCTGCCGTAGGTTAAGCTAAAATTCAAAGCAAACTTCCTGACAGCTTGTCTATAAATTTATACGTATACGTATACAGGGTTCTAAGACATGTTAAAAACCTGGTGTTAAACAAGTGAAAAAAAGTAGGGGCACATTCTGGCTGAATGGGTTAAATGCTTAATTTAAAGTCAATCCATTTATGCATGAGTCAATTCCAACTGCGATCATCCCCCCCCCGGGCGAACCCCCGGGAATTTGACTTTTCAAAAAAAATACGGTCAAATTTCCGACGGTGCGGGCGTAACCCATTGTCAAATTCCCAACGGTGCGGGCAAAAACATACTAGTCAAATGTAGCCTGATAACAGACCTACGTTTCGCCCACCCTAAAATTCGCGGGTCGACGAAGAGCGAAACGTAGGTCTGATGAAAATGTTGTCAAAAGTGCATGTAAGTCGACCGCCAGGCGGTCGACAAAGCTGATTGGCTAATTCACAGGGAAATGGGTTGTGATTGGTTGGTCGCTAACATGAAAAGATTTGAAAATATCAGAATATTCTCAACGGTAAATCAACAAATATTCTAAATATTTTGTGATGCCGAACGGCAACTATCTACCGTATAAAATTAAAACTAGAGGGGAGTAGAACGGTACGTGTCAAATTCTTCAGCGTTGTATCTTTCCATTGTAATAAACAATACAATACAGTAATTATATTAATATAGGCAGATTTTATCGCATTTATAGAATGTGTTGAAAATGTTGTATTATTACCTTAGCTGTAACTGTTTATTTACAAAGGTTTAAGTATATAAAGGCAACAGGCTTCATGGGGTTACCAATATTTTAAATATTTATTCGAATATCTGTCTCTTGACTAGTTTACAAACTTGCAATAAAGTGAATCGACAACTTTCATTGACATTGTATTTTAAGGTATTACATGTATGTGTCAATCATCGTTGTTAATTATTGCAAAATGCAAAGTGGGCGGAAGGCGCTTTTGACAACATTTTCATCAGACCTACGTTTCGCCCTTTCCGTCGACGAATTTTAGGCGGGTGAAACGTAGGTCTGTTATCAGGCTAAGTCAAATGCCCATATCTGCCTCGTACGTTTCCCATATAATTTTACATGAAGAGAACCAGCTAGACTTTAATGTTTATTTAATTTTATGATCGGCTCAAAACTTTTAGTTTTGCAATTTATATTGTTTTGAAATGCCGTTTCTTTTTTAATTTATGCTCGCTATTGTAAGTTCAATTTCTTTTTATCTATAAAATATCATAACGACACATAACTTTTGAGACAAATTCTGCAAAAGAACAAGCAATTACAGCCTTTTTGACGTCCCTGATCGAGTTCCAAACTTTGTATAACGGCATCTTATATAAAAACTATTCACGCCGTGCAGTATGTTTTTATATACACGCGAAAAAAATCACGTTCATCAACGTTCATCTACACCAAGCACTTAGCGCGACCGCTGGCCAATTTTGCGCCAGTGATCAGTCAAATGAAAGGAGTCAAATGCCCGACGGTGCGGGAATGTTTTCGCGTCAAATTCCCGCCTATGCAGGATTAATCTCTGGTCAAATCCCGGGGGTTCGCCCGGGGGGGGATGATCGCAGTTGGAATTGACTCGTGCATTACATGCTAAAACCAAGAAATATGCACTGAATTGATAATCTTAATGATCAATTCTATATATTGGGTTAACAATTTTATGATTCAGATAGATAAGATTGCGATTAACTCAAGTTTAATACTCTCAAATAATGTTCATGTTTTGGCTTTAATACTGGGCTTGTAGCAATCAGCAATGTAGCCATATTTATATTCATATTAATATATTGTTTTATATACTATGTGGGTTCAAACATGCTTTCTCGAGTTTTGTCAAACAAGTGAAACCCAGTATTTACTATGTGCTTATTCAAAATTTGAATTGTTGATTTTAACTAACATTTGACGGCACTGAAATGAAATAATTCAATATATAAAACCTCGCGCGCAAATTCAAATTTTAGCAGCCACAACACTACAACAGGCCAACAGCCACAAGATAAAATGGGTAAATACGGTCGATGTACGTTATAATTATATGATATAAACAATAATATTTCATACCTGAGATCAATAAGCCTTCGGCAGGATTCGCAGTCACTTATCCAGTACAAAATAAGATAAATACCATGGACTCTTCCTGGGCAAAATATACTCAAACGAAAAAGTCGAAAATTTGCAAATCACACTTGAAATTTGATACACGATATCCCACAACTCATTGCGCGCGTGGCCCTTGTCTTCTAAAATAGATACATCAAAAAGCGCTCCCATCTATCGTAGCGCTAGCTTGAAATTGTAGGAAGCATTAATCTGGCGGTCTCTGGCCAAAAAATGATTATAAAAATGATGAAAATTCTTATGAGCGAATAATGAGATAGATTTTCTAAAAAAGTTATATGCCAATTGCAATTTAAATATAAAATTTTTATGGTTTACTACAGTATTAACGTATCGCATGTCTTAACATGTGACAGCATTAATCGTGATGTCATAACATGTGGTGATATTTAAACGCAAAATCTTGGGTAAATTTACGCATCATTTTTTGCGGTGGATCATACCATCTTCATTAAAGTGTAGATAGACGATTGTTGCAAATTATTTGAATTCATGTATAATTGTTATTTTTCAATTGGCCATATACCGGCAAATTCATTACGATATCTGCCATGTTGAAACTGCGACAATTCAGGACAAAGCCGTTCAGCTTCAAATTTGACAAAAAAAAGTGAAATATATACAATAGAACTAGGTTAAATTCAATTCAATATCATATCTCGTTTCGGCCATGCAAAAGTTGCCGTCCGAAAGAAAGGTTTTGATATATGCGCGATAAATAATATTAAACTTCATTTCAAGATTGTTTTTCTAATTATAAGAATATTATTCTAGGATGGAAAAATGTTATTCTTAAAATAAGAAAAATATTCTCTCGAATATTCTTGCCTAGTTATATTTTCTTACTTTAAGATTTTTGTTCTTAAAACTAGATTTTTTTTTTGAAATATTTCTTGATAAGAAATATTTACTTAAAATAAGAAAAATAATCTAAAAAATAAGAATATTATTCTAGACTAGAATTCGATTTTTTGCAGTGTACAACGTGTGCTATAATTATACATACTTTGTGCTTTACGTCTTCGCTTTCTAAGTTAGCAAAATGTTGCCTTTCTATTTGGTAACGATTCTTCGGCGTTTCGGGACGTTTTTCAACTTTTTTTAAAATTAAA